TGGGGCTTCCCCCCAACACTGCCTGCAGCTGCCCCCATCCAAGGCCATTTTCTGCCCTGTTTTCTTCAGCATTGTGCAAACCTCACCCGTGAGGACTCTCTTTTTTTATGGTCCATCTTGGGTATTGCTGAGGGTTTCCAACAGGGCCAGCCTTAGGGAAAAGACACTGAAGGCAGGGGCCCCTGTGGACATGGCACTCCTTTTCCCCTTCACCCCAAACCCTGCATTTCCCTCCACCTGCACCCCAACTCCAGCCCTGCGCTGCCAGCGTGCCCTGACACATTGCCCCCCTTAGTATTCTTCATTCCCTTATGCCCAGCAACCCTCATGCCCAGTAGCCCCTCCCCCACAGCTCTTCCCCCTCCCCCCAATCCCTATTCCCAGGGCCATTCCATCCACCACAGCTCTCTCCCCTTAGCCCAGCACCCCTGTCACAGCCCCTTCACAAGTGCCTAGCCCCCATATTCCTAATGGAATTCAGCACCAAAAATTAAAAATTTTGTGCACCATTTTTTATAATTCTGCAAATTGTATTTGTCAATAAATAAATGAGGGAGACTCCAGTATGACAGTGGGAACCACAGCCAACTGGCTGCATGTAAATGGGAGATCTCCTTGCAGTCTTCTCCCTCCACTGCTCTCCACTCCCAGGGACAAGTGCTAAAGAAGAGCATGGGGGTGCACACTAACCACGTGCCCTCCCCCCCCCAACTCCTCCTGCAACACCCCTAGTCTGGAGTCAAGGGGTTTGGAGTGCAGAAGGGGACGCAGGATCTGAGCGGAAGTTAAAGTATATGAGGAGGTTCCAACTGGGGAGAGTGGGTTCAGGTGCAGGCCCTGGGAGGGAATTAAGATGCAGGAAGGTGTTCCAGCTGGGGGCAAGCAGTTCTGACTGGGGACAGGGTGGTGCTTATCTCAAGTGGCTCCCAGTCAGTGGCACAGCAGGGCTAAGGCAAGCATCTTGCCTGCCCTAGCTCTGTGCTGTTCCTGGAAGTGGCCAGCATGTCTGGTCCCCACTCAACACATCACTTCCATATTAAGGATGTTAAGAAGCAGGTAACTGACTAATTGTGTAGTACTCAATTTAGTCAATAAAGGGCCCTGCTGCCGCTCTGCAGTTTAAATGTAGTAGGAGCTGGGTGCACAGGCAGCCTGGCTCCTACTACAGTAAACTTCCGATAATCCGGCACCTTTAGGACCCAGGGGGTGCCGGATTATCCCCCCTCCCCCTGCCGGTCACTCAGGACGCAAGTTCCTGGCTCTGCCAACTGCGGAGCAGCGCGGGAGGGAGCTATGCCAGTTCAAGGGAGGGCTCTGCTCAGCTTTCCTTGCCGCAGAGCAGGGGGTTCATTGCCCTCTGCTCGCCAGGGAACCGCGGGGGGGGGGGGGCTCCTCCTTTCAGCTCCTTTCTCCTAACGCGGGATCTTCGCGGAGAAGTCGCGCCGCTTCCTGCCCACCCAGCGTCTCCCCGGTGCTGTCTCTGTACTTCAGCGAAGTACTTCCGGCTCCGCCGCCCGGCTGGGTCCGTCCTGTAATAGCTCCCCCGGAAATACTCGCCAGCACAACGCGTGCTCGGAGGAGAGGGGAGCGGAAATCCCACGGCTGCAGCCCTGGCAGGCGTGGGGGCGCCGCTTCCTGCCCACCCAGCGTCTCCCCGGTGCTGTCTCTGTACTTCAGCGAAGTACTTCCGGCTCCGCCGCCCGGCTGGGTCCGTCCTGTAATAGCTCCCCCGGAAATACTCGCCAGCACAACGCGTGCTCGGAGGAGAGGGGAGCGGAAATCCCACGGCTGCAGCCCTGGCAGGCGTGGGGGCGCCGCTTCCTGCCCACCCAGCGTCTCCCCGGTGCTGTCTCTGTACTTCAGCGAAGTACTTCCGGCTCCGCCGCCCGGCTGGGTCCGTCCTGTAATAGCTCCCCCGGAAATACTCGCCAGCACAACGCGTGCTCGGAGGAGAGGGGAGCGGAAATCCCACGGCTGCAGCCCTGGCAGGCGTGGGGGCACCCTATTGGTGGGGAGGGGGGGGGCGCGCCGGGGAAAGGG